TGAGTCAGTATTGGTTCTTGAATTGACAAGTACTACTGGGAGAAAGTGCAGATCATCTGTTTTATCATTGTCCTATAGCTTTAAATGTAGCTTTAAATGTGGGAGAAAGGACACAGCTTATGCTGTATTTCAAGGTGGCTTCATTATGTTATTGTAGGCTCGCAGTATTTTAAAAGGCATGGACTAAAAATTGTAGCAATTTTACATCTACTTACTAATATAAGGAAATGATTGTTTTTAACTTTCGACTTTTGAATTCTGATTCGCATCATTGTGCATGCTAGTGCTTTATTTTAGATCTCACATATATAGGGTGTGGTGTTGAAACTATGATGTATGCGACTACCTTGTTATATTTGCTCTGATCTATTTTCCTTTTTGGTATAAGGTCTTGTACAAGAGCAGATGTGACAATCGCCTTAATGAGATCACAGAAAGGGCATCTGCTGATAGACGTGAGGTATGCTGTAGGATACTTGAGCCTAAGCACATATTTGCATTAATCTTTCGCAACTGTCTTGGCTTAATGAGTACTACATAAATCTAGGCTGAGTCCCTGGCTAAGAAATATGAAGAGAAATACAAACAAGCTGGAGATGTAGCTTCCAAGTTGACTATTGAAGAAGCCACGTTTCGTGATTTACAGGTACCTTTCACCACATAGAAATTGTGGTCAATTAGTGGCCCATGTGTTTTTGCTTTTGCTCATTCGAAGATCAAAGTGTCAACTGCTTGCTGTTCGTTTTGTTCATCTGAGTTGTAATTGCCTGTACATGTGAGATGGCGTGCTTTTATGTTTTATATTTTTAACTTTAAGTATTACATTCTGGAGAAACAAAGAAAAAAAAAATTCATAGTAGTTTTTTAGGCCTGGTGGGATTGATAGCAGATGACAGAGAGAAAGTAGGGTGGGAAAATAGAATCAGTTGAATGGTCATACCCCTAGTGGTGTATTCTTTTTATTATCACCGGACTGATTGTCTTATGTGATTTATATGCAGGAGAAGAAAATGGAGCTATACAGGGCAATTGTCAAGATGGAGCAAGAAGGTGATGCTGATGGCACCCTTCAGGTACCTTTGCACAACCTTGCTGTTTAAAACATACTTTTGCTCAACTTGTCTAAGATCATTATCAACTGAAATTTTCAGGATCGTGTTGATCGCATCCAATTGGATCTTGATGGGCTTGTGAAAACTCTCAATGAGCGCTGCAAGAAGTATGGATTACGCGGAAAGCCTACAACATTAACTGAGCTTCCCTTTGGTAAGTTGATCTCATTCCTTGCTAATTTCTTGGCAATCTAAGAATCCTATATAAATTAATGATAAGAGTACTTCCATGAGCTTATTCTTTATCAAACTATGTGATGGATTTTACATTAATTTTTTTTTTTTATGGACTTTGGCTTTGGGTAGTCAATTTATTTCAATTTATTAATAGCGTTGCCTTTCTAGAAGCTGAAAGTCATTCTGTTGTTAAATCATCAAAATCCTACAGAGAAACCCTTGTTTTTTCACCGTTGTAATCTTTTCCTAATCACTCTGCTTTGTTTGATTATCATCATTTGAATTCTGTGTAGCGTTTCTTGAGTGCTTCATTTTATTTTTTGTTATTGTTCACTGCTGTGGTATTTGTGCTACAATGCATTTTGTTATCTGAAATTTTATTTTGTTTTTATATAGGCTGGCAACCTGGCATCCAAGAAGGAGCTGCTGACTGGGATGAGGATTGGGATAAGTTTGAAGACGAAGGTAAATGCCAAAAATGAGTTTTATAGATCCAGTATTGGCTCTGAGATGATAAATTTCTGGTAGCACTTAAATTCTTTTTTCCTTTTCACCTTGTGGTTAATGGAGCATATTGCCTGCTGTTTGTAGTTCCTTTGTCGTCTGGTGGTGGTTTCCCAATCGGTTCAGGAGTTTTAACTATTCGATGTGACTGATTTAGAAGTTTACTTTTCAGGATTCACTTTTGTCAAGGAGCTCACTCTTGATGTGTCAAATGTCTTGGCGCCTCCAAAACAGAAATCATCATCAGTTCAGAAAGAAGAAGCTCCTCCAGTTGAGAGTCCAACTGCTTCTTCACCTAAAGTTGATGTCAAGTCAGAAAAGCCTCAGAGTGCGGATGAAATGGTTGTTGAAAATGGAGCAGCATATGATAAAAATGAAGAGGAGTCCGCAAAAAGTGCTCCGAACAGTCCATTTGCGAGCAGTATTGTTGGAAGCCCATCTAGAGAATTTTCAGATTCTAACTATGGAAGGACAGCAGGCACAGATGCCTCACCCCGTGATAAGGAATCTCAAAGGTATAGTTTTAGATCTGCAGTAGAAAGTTTTCTACATATTTAAGATCACCATGATACCTGCAAAAATTGTTGAGATTCTAAACTTTGATGTGCAGTGATGATCATGGGGGTGCTGGGTCTGTGTTTTCCGGTGACAAGGGTTTCGATGAACCAGCATGGGGGACATTTGACACTAATGATGATGTTGACTCGGTGTGGGGTTTCAATGCAGTTAGTACCACCAAGGTAAGCCGATATTGTACATTCAGTATTCTTTAATATTTTATGGAACTAAATTCTTTGGCCTCGTGTTTATGATGACCCGGTAGTGTTCCATGATTGCTGTTAATACCACCTAGTTGTTTGTGGTGGTGATCATATATCCTTTGTTTCAAGAGTAGCCTCAAGTGTCCTAGTGCTTGCTGCGTTTAGTTATTAGAGAAGGTTCTGAGAATTTTATCAATAATAGTTTCTATCTTGACCAAGTTTCCAGTTGTGATGGTTTCATCATGTAAATCAGTTGGTAGTATGGGTCTTTCAACCAAGTATGACAAAACCGAGCTTCCTGATTTCTGTCTTGGATCACTGTAGATAAAAAAGAAGGGGTTGTGGAATTGTTCTTGGTGCAATTAATTGTACATTGAAGGGGACTCTGGTTTTGGCGTTAGGTCTTGGTTAATCGAGACTCTGTTTATGTTTACATTGACAACAGAGGGTGCTGCATTGCTCACGGAACATTTTGTAGCCGATGGAAAGTTTCGATTATTTTGCACCTTTTAAGTAGGCATGGATTCTAGGTTCCAGTGAATACACTTTCTTTTCTAATGGCTTGTTGGTTACGTAGCACTTTCAAGCTTTCTGATTTTTGCGGTTTTATATTTGTTGTTATTACTGGCATGCTGGATTGTGCGGTAACTGCTCTTAATCATGTGTGATGTAGGATATGGATCAGAAGAGTAATAAGGATCACTACTTTTCTGGCCCTGGGGAGTTCGGCCTCAACCCTATCAGGACTGGGTCATCACAAGGAGGTAGCTTTTCCCAGAAGAGCCGCCCATTTGCTTTCGATGATTCTGTTCCCAGCACACCAATGTCTGCCTTCAATTCAGGATATTCACCACCAAGGTACAAGGATAGTTCAGATCCTTCATTCGACACCTTCTCCAGGTTTGATTCGTTTAGAAGCACCCAAGATACTGGATACTTCCCTCAACCAGAAACACTTGGAAGATTCGATTCTATGCGCAGCAGTAGAGATTTTGATCAGGGTCATGGATTTCCAACATTTGATGACATCCCAGACCCTTTTGGCTCTTCAGCGCCATTTAGGTCATCACTGGACAGTCAAACACCAAGAAGAGACTCGGACCCCTTTGGATCTTCAGGGTCATTTCGGACGTCACTGGACAGTCAAACCCCCAGAAGAGAATCAGATTTTTTCGGGTCTTCAGCAGCGCCATTTAGGACATCATTCGACAGTCAAACTCCAAGAGGAGACTTGGACGCATTTGGGTCTTCTCCATTTAGGACATCATTCGACAGTCAAACTCCGAGACGAGACTCGGACCCATTTGGGTCTTCAGGGCCTTTCCGGACATCAATGGAGACTCCGAGAAAAGACTCTGATCATTGGAGTGCATTTTAGCCGGTTAGTTGTGCTTCGTTTTGTGTCTGCTATTCAATCGCCGTTCAAAGCCTTTCTATCGTGGCGTGGTGGGACGGGCCTTGTGTTTTATGCTTTGAAATCACTGAGCCTGTAATGTATCTTTTGTATTTCATCCCATTTTATGTATGCAGGTTGCCATTTCTTCATTATTTTTCCCTTTAGCTTGTTGCGTGACATATATTTCCTCCTTAATTTTGGAATGTTCCTAGTCCTATTGAAGCGAAGACCCCATAGTTTTTTCGTTAGTTTCAAATTGATGATTGTATTATTAAACTTAAGGACGTAATTTGTTGTAATTTCCTTTTCCATCTCAAATAAATTTTGTTTGCTGATTTTGTTATTCAGTTCAAACGAGAACACAAGATTTGGCGTTTTTAGTCCAACTGGGTGTGGGTGATTCGTATATTTCACTCATTGCAGTTGAGCTATCGAACTATTTGAGTTTTCTTTCTTTTGTTGAATATTCAATGTCAACTACGTTACTCGTCACTTCCACTTTCACGATGTCAAATTCAACTACGTGACACAGCCGCGGCATCTACCACCAAGAACTGAAGCTGAAGAACCTCCACCTCAACGAGGACGGCAACTTGAAGGTCACCGATATCGGAGTCAGCGTTTCTCAGCACACTTGAAGCAGGGTCTCACCCTTGTCGCGGACCCCTTGGAGCTGGGGACTTGTTTGCTCTTGGTGGTTCGGTGGATTTTCTGATTTTTGAGCTATTTTATAAGGTACTTTCAGAGTTAATTGAGCTGATTTTCTGGGTTTAATTGTGCGTTTCTTAATTTTATTTAGTTGATTATGGAACTGGGCATGCAGATGGACTTAATTTGGTGGACGGATTCAGCAGGCCAAAGATCTCACGCAGGTGAGGTGGAGAAAAAGCAGGTTTTGACTTCTTCCTTTCTGATTATCATGGCTGGAACTTTGAAAAGAAGCACTTATTTTTGCATTTACCAAACACATTTTACACTAGATTTTTTCGTAGCTGTTTGTATAAAAAGTTAAAGCAATCCCAAACCTGTACTGGGCTTAGGCAACAAAGCCTACATATCCAAAAGGGCATTCACTTGATCCTTGAAAAGCATAATATCATATGCTAGTTGCTCATCATATAGTTGAGATAGTTGTGCCTTATTACTTGATTCACTGGCTTCTGACTCATCATCACTTTCATTTGCTTTATTCTTATAACTTGATCCACTGGCTTCCCAAGTTTCATCTTCTCTTGTTTCTTCTTGTATTTTTGGTTCCCCAGATAGGAAGACACGATCGAGTTTGAATTTCTCAACATCTTCCGCATACAACGGCCATATACCACATTTTTTCACCTTCACGCTGGAAATGGGAGTGCGATTAGAATCCTCCACGCGGAATTCAACAGAGGCCTCATTTGCAAGTTTGTAAACATCAGGGGAGCACATTTCTGCTTCTTCACTTATAACGCTTTCATACCACATGTACACGTGATCTTGTCCGTCGTCACAGCAGTCATTCAATATCCGGCTCTTTCGTTTGACAATGAAGGAAGAAGTGAACAGTTCATGGCTTTCACCCAGGGATTTGACATTGCACCTAGCTCTTATTGCAAACCATTTATTGCAGTTGGAAACACAAGAAACAACAATAGAGAGAACGAAGCCCAACAAACCTGTTCGAATAAACTCTGGAGGAAGCTTGATATGGACTGAAGATCCCTCACTTTGATAGCTGAAGCTGAACCACTTTGGAATTTCTTTTCCCGGACATACAATGCTAAACATAGGTATCCAAGATTCCTTTCTTGGCTTAGTTGCATTTCGCATAAATATAAGTTGTGCTTCAGCCATTATGTTGCTTCTTGCATTATGATCCAATTTTCGGCAATTCAAAAAATTACGGTTCCCAAAGTATGTGTATTTATCCCAACCTTGTGTGAGTGCTGTCCTTGAACTTGGCACTGTCTTCAGCGACGTGCAGCCTTCAGCTTCAAGATTACATAGCACTGGGAGCTCTGGTAATGATTGAAGCCGCTTGCACCCAATTAAGCTTAGTCTATGCAACTGAGAAGCTTGTTTGATGCTTGCAGGTATGCTCCTGATCATGCTTCTACTCAGATCCAAATCTTGCAATGAGGTTGAGCCAACGAGACCATCAGGGATTTCTGATATGCGGGTGCCATGGAGGTCAAGAACTTCCAAAGATAGCAAACGAATCGAGCCAGACGGCAACCCTTTGAGTTCCCGACAGTAACGAAACCTGAGAGTTTTAAGGTTGGTTAAACTGTAGATACTACTCGGGATACTTGAAAGCCTTGTGCAAAACAATAATTTAATTTTTTCGAGAGCAGGGAGAAACTCGATTGATGAGTGTAGCTCTTGAACGGCTGTTTCCTTTAGATTAAGATATTCCAAATGTTCCATGGGCTCCAAGATCTCTGGGAAGTTTCCAAGTTTAGAGCACCCAGAGAGATTGAGTTTCTTGAGAGATTTTAACTTACAAATGTCGGTTGGGAGGCTCACAAGTCTCTTGCAATAACCCAATGATAATTCACTTATATTCCTGGGAAGCTCAGAAACCTGGCCAAGAGATGTGCATAACCATAGATCAAAACAACCGGAGATTTTCAGCTTACACTTGTTGCTTGGAAGTTTCTTAAGGTCTCTACATCCTCTTATATCCAAGTAAGAAATTTTTTCGTGAGACCAAACTGAATCAGACAACTCCTGTATACCACTTCCACATAACTTTAAGATTTCAATATTCTCTGGCATCTCTGGAAGATACTTGAGACTCTCGCAATCTTCAAGATCAAGATGAGTAAGCTTGTCAAGACGTTGAAAATACCCAGGAATTTCAACCAAATTGTCACAACCATTAAGTTTTACGCGCACAATTTCTCGACTCCCAGAGAGATTTGGAACTTCAGTTAGATTTCTAGACCACTTCAGATTGATCACTTTTAATTTCACAAGTCTCTGTAACAAAAGCAAAGAAAAATACAAAGAATTAATAAGGGAGACTTTCTACACTGCATTTTTATACAAGAACTAAAATGGGGCGTATATACCTGCTCTTCATTCCATAGCTTTTTAACATTGCTCCAGGGCATATGAAGCTCAACTAGATTTTCAGGAGAAAAATTTGACGGCAAACATTTCAAAGGATATTGATCCCAATAAAGATAACGAAGAGAATTGGGAAGATCTAGAGAAGCGGTTCTAGCGCGAAACCATCCAGTGCAATGCACAATTAGCATCATTAGGTTAGACATCACTTTGAAGTCTGCAAATGTTTGCTCTTCAATCTTATACCAATCAACCACTATGGCTTGAACAATTGGAGTTCCCTGACAATAAGAGCAAATTTTAAATGTGAATATACATACAACAAAATTCAATCAGTAATTAAATTTTATAGATGAGCTTTTCTTTGGTGCGTTATCATCTAAAATTCGTTATTTGTTTTTAGTAAAAAAGAAAAGAAAGAAATTGAATACGTTTAGCTCTTACTGTGTTATTTTGCAGTACACAACTGACATCCTCATCCTTGAACAACCTACTCCGTTGACCAGGATCTTCAATACACTGTTCGAGAACAATTGTGCTTCCCATTTCTTGTAGCAGATCATGCATCTCTATTGTTTTCTTTGTTGAATGAATTGATACGAGAGACATATCAACGAGAACTCTAATTCCGCCAACCGCAAACAATCCACGAACATCTAACATTCGTTTTACCTTGTAAACATCCTTCCCTTTATGAAAACATGCTATATCCAGAAATATCTCCTTCTCATTTCTTCCCAATCTATCATAACTCAGTCTCAACACTTCATGGATTTTTGCATTGGGAAATTTTTTCAATTTGTTCAATTCATCTTCCCATTCTTCTTTGCTCTTGCAGTTTAGGAATGAGGACCCCAGAAGTACGAGAGCTAAAGGAATGCCTCCAGCATAATCCACCGCCTTTTCTGCCAACCCCTTATAATCTGTTACAGGAGTACTGTTATTCTTGAAAGCACGGGAACAGAAGAGCTGAAGAGCGTCATCTGGTTTTAATCCCTCAACCTCGTAGATCTTATCCTCTTCAACAGTTGGCCTAAGCGTCCTCCTATCTCTACTCGTGATAATGATTCTACTTCCAGTGCCATACTGAAGACGCTTGCCAGCTAAATGGTCCATTTGCATTGAATCACTCACATCATCAAGAACAATGAGGACCTTTGTACGACTGAGGCTTTCCCTAACAAAAGTTGATCCTATGGATAGATCTTCTTTCTTTAATATCTCTTTAAGAAGTTTTTCTTCCAAGCGATCTATTCCATTTGTTTGTTCTGAGTTCTCCCTAACATTTCTAAGAAAACAACTGGCTTCAAATTTAGAAGAGAGTTTGTGAAATACAGTTTCAGCAATGGTGGTCTTGCCAATACCACCCATCCCCCAAATTCCTACAGTGATACAAGCGTCTGGTGAATGAATGCATAATAAAGATTCGATTTGCTCGATGCGTCTTTCAATTCCAACCAGGCCCTTTAAATCACATGATGATTCGCGAATCAATTTGTTCCAAATATCATCAACAACTTTCTTAACTAGAACTGCCTCCGTCCTGGCATATATATGTATAATTAGGTAGAAAAGTAGTAGTTAGTCTTAAATAGGCTTTACCAAATCTTAGCACAAATAAAAAATTGTCACAAGTTTAAAGATATTTTATACAAGTTCAAGAATGAGTTAGTTACCAGGGATTGTTTGAGTAATCAAACCCAGATAGATTGGCTGCAGTCGTCAAAGCATTCCTCCACTCTTGAACTTGATTGATACTGTCCTTGAAACGTTTTTCAAGTCGAGCAAATGCAACCGCATAGCTCCCCTGTTGGTTTCGTATATCCGATGGACTGATGTCGTAGAATACGGGTATAACCATCTGGCCACATCTTTCCTTGCATTTGAGTATATGCACAAGTTCCTTCAAACACCACGTGGAAGAAGGGTAGTTTTTTGAGAAAATGATCACCGAAAGCCTAGATTTCTCGATTGCTTCTACAAGGGCAGGTCCAATTTCTTCTCCTCTCTGAAGTCTGTCATCTATGTAGGTTTCAATTTTGCTCTGTTCTAAGGCCTGGTGAAGATGGCTGGTGATGCCACGGCGGGTGTCCTCACCTCTGAAACTGATGAACACATCATACTTTTCCCGATGAGGGGGGATTTTAACACTGTCAGCATCACCAGCTGTAGAATCAGTAGCAGAAGACGACGGAGAAGAAGAAAGGGTTAACGATCTGCAGCACATCTGCAAGAGAGTAATGATGCACTCCATCTGAGTGCTTGATAATATATCAAAGATCAAGAGAAAGAAGCGAGTGCTTGATAATATATCGAAGAAAGAGAATGGATGTATCAGAGGTGAATGAGATTTATTAAGTTGCAGTTGAGAAGAGGATCCAATTAAGCAAATTAAGAGAGAGGGAGAGAGAGGAGAGAGAGCTTGAAATTGGGAAGCAAGCAAGAGAGGACAGAGCAGTTGCCAGCATAGATCACATCAGATCTTAAAGAAAATAATAAAAAGATAAGATGCAAAATAAGTGGAAATGAAATTTACCCAACTCATTCACCTTGCCTTCCTTGAATCATCAGCTCCTACCTTCTATTAGAGCAACTCCAGCGTTGCTGGGTGCTCGAGGGACAGGCCAGAGAAAAAGGCCCAAGGCCCTGTGGACCGGCTCCAGCGTTGGAGAGCCTGAGCGGAGGTGGAGACCTGAACTTCGGGCCCGTGGAGAATTGCCAGCCCGAGAGCCTGAGTGGATGTGACGCCAGCGCTGACGTCAGCCTGGCGTCAGGCCGTTTTAATTTTTTTTTCTATCAGGCTTGTGCACCCCACTTGCGCGTGGGGGCGCGTCGCCGACACAAAATCAGAAAAAAAAAAGTGAATTTTCAGTTACCGTTGGGAAGGCACATGGCTTCCCACGGTCCGTTCAATCTCGACGGTCAAAAAAATAAAAAAAGTCTTATTTAATATCCACCGTTGATCTCAGATCAACGGTGGATATTAATATGCTTTATAAATAAAAAATAAAAGAAAAAATAGTTTTAAAATTAAGAAAAGTTACCGTTGTGACACGTGGCACAATCTGGAGTGTTGGAATTCAATTTTTTTTTATATCCAATGGCAGAGATTAATTAGTTGAATAAAAATTAAAAAAAATTGTAAAAAATTCAAAAAAAAAAAATTGAATTTTTTTTAAAAAAAATTGTTTTTACTTTTCTATAAATACCTTCTCATTATCATCTACCTTACACCACAATTTCATATTTTCTCAATTACTTTCAATCATATTCCTTTCTTTCTCTCAAAGTTTCAATCCTTTTTTTTTCAACAAAATGACTACTGATGCAGGTACGAATTGGTCGCTTCTTAAAGATGTTGCATTGTGTACTAGCTGGGTTAAAGTTACTCATAGTTCGCTTACGGGTAATGAGATGCAGTTGCGAGAAATGTCGAGTCTTATTCATACCAATTATCTTGAGAAAATTGGTGGGAAAAGAACCAAAGAATCGATGTCCAGTCGTTGGAAATTACTTAGCCCATCGTTTAGTACATGGAGAGACACCTTGGCACAAGCTAGTAGTAATATTCGAAGTAAAGAAAATTACTCGGATCAGGTAGCAATATATTATTTATTTGTTTGTACTATACCCAAATTTACATTATAATTATTTGTTTGTATTATTTACTTGTTACGTACTTACATTATAATTTTTTGTTTGTATTATTTATTTGTTACCTACTTACATTATAATTATTTGTTACTTATTTTCATTATAAGTATTTCTTCTCCCGCATTGTGTAGGAACTTTAAGCACAAGCTTGGTAGGCTGCCAAAACCAAAAGCAAAAATAAATCATTCAACCGGTGGGAATGTTGGAATATTGTTAAAGATTGTCCTAAATTTAGAGTTGTGCCTGTCGGTCCAGAAGTTTTCATGAACAACACCCATCTACACTCTACACCTGATCATTTCTCGCATGTTCATGAAGATGATGCAGAAGAAGTGCCCGAAACGCCCCTCCCTGAACAAGCGTCGGGTTCGACCCGTTATCCAATTAGGCCTCAAGGTAAGAAGGCTTCAAAAAGAAAAGGGAGTGCTTCCAAGAATGATTATGCAAAGTTCATGGAATAACTTACTCGCCAAGATGAATTGACTTTGGCGAAGGAACTGGCGAAATATGAGGCTGATAAGGCTAGAGAGGACGCAAAAGTTGCAGCTATTGAGATAGAATTTCAGGCTAATGAGAGAGAAAGAGAGCTACTTAGGCAAGAAAGGGAACATGTTAGAGAAGAAAGACGGGCTCAACGAGATTGTGAGATTATGAACACGCCTTTAGAAGGGAAGTCTCCAAATTCTAAATTTTTTTGGAAGTCAGAAAAGGCGGACGTGGTGCGAAGGAGGCGTGCAAGAGAAGCGAGAGCAAGCCAAGATGGTCCTAGCACCACAAGAGAAGATCATCCTAGCACCACAAATTGGTTAAGTGATGATGAATAGAGTAGTTTTTGTAATCGGAGCCCATAATTTTCTAATCACTTTGGGTTGTAATTTATTATTTATTCAATATAGTACTTTATGTTGTTTCCAATTTATTGAATATTTATTCAAATGAATTTGGTAAGTTATTTATACTAAGAGAATATTTATTGAAATGACAAAAACACACCAAATAAAATTACATAAGCATACCGAATAATAAAAAACTCACTAAAAAAAATTACATAAACATACCAAATAATAAAACACACCAAATAAAATAACATAAACATAGCAAATTCAAAAAAACACACTAAATGAACTTAATTATCTTCAGCTTGTTTCAATGCCCACTGGTGCTCTATCAAGTCAATTTGCCGAGCATTGTTCATGTCTGGCATTTGACATGCAGTATATCGTTGAATGAGCCTTTCATTGTAACGCCCATCCCTTTGTAATGGTTCATGTTGCACGGGTTCATTGGTGGCGTCATGAGCACAATATATTCGTGTTCTTGAATTGTTCATCGTGTTTGGCTCATATTCATCAACGGCTTCATAATCGTACTCATCTTCCACAATCATGTTGTGAAGAATGATGCACGTCATCATGATGGATCGAAGTGACTCTACATCAAACAATCTGGCAACACCCCTGACGATCGCCTAGTGAGCTTGGAGGATACCGAAACAACGCTCCACATCCTTCGTGCACCTTTCTTGACAGCTTGCAAAGTGTTTTTCCTTTGCACTTCGCGAACATGACACTGTTTTGACAAATGTTGACCATCACGGGTAAATGCGTCAGCTAGGTAGTATGGCCCGTCGTACATATGTCCGTTGACCTCATACGTGACTTTTGGTGCCTTTCCTTGCAGAACATCATTGAACACTAGGGATTGGGCAAGGACGTTGATGTCATTTTGAGCTTCCGGAACCCCGAAAAAGGCGTGCCAAATCCATGTATCAAAAGATACCACCGCCTCCAGAATGATACTTTTTGCTCATTTTCTGTACCCATAAGCGCCTTGCCATGCACTTGGACAGTTTTTCCACGTCTAGTGCATACAATCAATGCTTCCAATTATCCCAGGAAAACCACGCATCTCAGCCTTCTTTAGCAGCCGTTCCAAGTCCATGTTTGTAGGTTTGCGGAGGTACTCAGCGGTGTAGATAAATTCGATTGCTCCGCAAAACCTCATCAGGGACTCAAGAATGGTTGATTTCCCCATCCTCGTCATCTCATCCACTTGGTCTGCAGATGCTCTATATGCAAACATCCGCAAGGCAGCAGTAATTTTTTGTTGAGGAAGGAGACCTATAGCACCAAAAGCATCATTCTTTTGCACAAAGTAAGAATCACGGTTGCAAACAACAATCATGATTTTGTTGAACAAATGTCGTTCCATTCTAAAATGACGTCTAAAGTATGTATCAGGGAATGCACTATTAGGGACAAAATAATCGTCCAAGAGTTCCATACCTCGTCGTTGCCTGCTTCTATCAAAGTTTCCGGAACGGCTGGGCCTGCAGATCTGAGCCACAGCTTGGATGACTCGATGGGAATGTGAGGCTCTGCCCATTCTTACTTCGTTATCTCTCCTTCTACGCTCCTCATCCCCTTCCTTCTCATTTTTTGCCCCCTGGTGATTGAACATTCCTTCTGATTGGTTAAACAATTCTTCCTCTTCTTGATCGAGTTCCCACATCATCCTTGAGGAAGAAGAAGACATTGTAAGAAAGAAGCAGAAACTATAAATAATGATACAGATTTTTGTGAAGAAGGAAGCAGAAACTATGAATAATGATAGAGATCTTGAGAAAATTGGTGTGAGATTTGTGAGGATGGATGGTGGATTATATGGAGGATTCAGAAAGGATTAGGTTGTACATAATGCCACGTGGCATGCCGTCATTCGTTAAAAATCTGATGGAAATCTATCCTCAAAGATTGTAAACAGATTATGACACGTGGCACGACGTGATTGGTTAATAATCTTATCAGAAATCCATCATCAATAATTGTATTTTCGGATAATGACACGTGGCATAACGAGTACGATTAAAAAATTTATCGGAAATCCATCCCCAATAATTGTCTTTTCGGATTTTATGACAAGTGGCGCAACGAGAACTATTAAAAATCTTATCCGAAATTACAAATAAAATTATTTTGTATTATTTAATAATACTTCGGATAATGACACGTGGCGCAACGAGAATGATTAAAAATCTTATTCAAAATTACAATTAAAATTATTTTGTATTATTTTATAAATAAAAAAAATACTAATATTTTATTACCTATTGCCAGGGCTATTGAAGTGTAACGATGGATATGCAAAGGCTATTGCTAGGGCTATTACTGTTCATTAGGGCAGTTACTGTTCATAAGATGAATTGAATAGTGAATATCCTGGGGTAAGGGTTCCAACGCTGAAGTTGCTTTTAAAGCTAGGTGAGTCGCAAGTCAAAAGTGCATGGTAATGGCAAACACAGAGTAGCCAAGGCCCGCCCGAACAAATGAAATATAAAAATTTATTCTAAAAAGGCTACATAAGCTGAAGAGATTACAGCCTAGTATGGGGGTTGTTGTGTTTTTTTTTTTTATTTTTTTTATTTTTTTAATTTTTTTAATTTTTAAAATGCTTATGTTGAGTTATGAGAATAAACAATTTTGTGAAAAAAGCAAATACGTGTTTGGTGAACTATAATGCTAAAATGCTTTTAGTTATAAAAAAAAA